AAAAATATTTCTTATACAAAATGTATCACAAACGTAGTATTAAGTAAGGAAATTTTTGTTGAAACTCATGTCTCCACCATTATTATATTATAGCTAATTTTTATATATTAAAGACTTTTATTTACTTAAAAAATTAAAAATATTTACAATATTGTACCATATAAACTAAAATGCAATTTGTTTAATTAACTTTTTTATTGTACGTAAATAAAATTTAGAAATTAAAAAAAAATTATGAATTCTATTTTATTACTTCAAATGAAATTAAATAATAAATTATTTTTTTTAATTTAATAATTTGTATTAATTAATTACCACTTTTGCGGCTTTTAGCAGTCATCTGACGATTTTTGGCAGTGAAATTTTATACTGATTTGTGAAATACAGGTTAATATACTTTCCTCTACAGTCAGTCGTTGTGCATATATATTCATTTGCCTATACATATATATAACAGTTTTAATAACATATTACTTTGAGTGTTACAGTGAAGTACTGAAGGCCATTCAGTTATATTATCCATTATTCAGTAATATTATTGCAGTCCAATAATGTAGCATTTTATACAAAAATAAAGTAAATATGGGAAGAATATTTTAAGTGGTATTTTTAAGTGGAGTGGTACTTCAACCACATTACGGTACCACAGAAAAACATTCAGACAACAGATCAGCAGAATCACAAAAAAAAAAGTATTAATTAAAAACCGAAGTGGTCAAAATACGGATAACATTTAAAAAGGGCACAACTCCTCCATTCAAGTTAAAGTGAACTAACCTGACCAGTCGATAAAATAAACATTGCTATCTATCTAATATTAAAGAATGGGAACTTTGACAACTAAATTAGGAAATCTATAAAGTTTGCTCTTCAATAATAGAAGCTCTGTAAAGTTAGTAACAAAAAGGCGTCAAAAACTTGTAATTTTTCACGTTCCTAAAATGGATACTGATACATAAGATAATACACAGTTTCCTATTTCTCTGTATAACCACAACCACGACTGGTAATTATAGGATAGATCAAGTGCCATTGTATATCTTCCTAACAAGTAGTGATCTATCAGCACCAATATGGTTGCAATGCTACATAAAATTGATTGCAATATGTTACATTGGTAAGTATATTTTCTTATTTATTTATACAGTAAATATAATTTTTGAAGGAGTATTTGTTGTGCGATAGAGTGTATTACCTTCATATTGAATTGATGTATTTATTATGTTATACAGAATTGTTGCAGCGAAGAAGTTAAGAAGTTATAAAGCAACATATAACAGTTCCAAATTTCAGAACAGTTATTGTTTGGATTATTAGGATTTATCAAGTTGTTAAGACATTTTAAAAAAAAATTAAAAAGTATCTTATGAGGTTCAGTTATGTTTATAAGAAATATATTGTATAAAAATAACTTAAAACAGCATTTTAAAAGTATATTATTAAATTTAAAGATCAATTGAACTGATCTATCATTCAATTGATAGGTAAGTAGTTTAGTTTCTGTTGAAATGAACCTGAAACCCTGCAACTATATTATGGTACCACAGATAAACGTTATTCATACGCTAAACCAGGAGGATCAACAAAAAAAGTATTAAGGTATTAAAAAAGGAACACTTCTGTTTGATCATTTGCAATATGTATTGGAATTATGAACTACGAATTCAGAGTTCCTTGCTGTGGGCACAGAACGAAAGATTGTAAAACGACTAGTTGGATGATGTAAGTGTTATATGATTTCACATTAAATAAATATAAATACAATTTAAGCAAATAAATCAAAAATTTTCTTATTCCATAGAAAAATTATTTAGCTTTACTGGAGACAATTAATTTTAGTCTGGTATAAGTCGATATGGCAGTATCTTTCTATTACCAGAAATAATCATCGAAGATCGAATATTAATATTAAGGCCATGTGCGAATTTTGATAAATTGAGGGAAATAGTAAATTATGTTGGTATGGCAGCGAATGTTGGTATTTACCAGAATTTCGAGTAGCGTAAATTAGATAAAAATTAGGTAAATTAGGTCTTACCATTGTGATAATTTTATAAGATGTTTAGGACGTGTGCGAGTTAGGCTAAGTTGCGTTCTAAATGAGGGAAATTCTAAGTTGAGCCGATAATGTAGTGATGTGTCGATACGTGTTGATAAATGGCTAAATGTGTGCAGTGCAAAAAATCCCAAAAAAACTCCCATTTGGTTTAGCATCAACTTAGCCTAACTCGCACACGACCTTAATAAATAAATAAATTTCACCATCAATTTACGGCAACTCGCACACTTTTATGAGGTAAATTGGTAAATAAGTGCAGTGCAAAATATCCGTAGAAAATTTCAATTTACTTTAACTCAATTTTAGCTTGGTAAATATTTAACTGAAACCTTTTAAGAATTGAAAGAACTAAGTTTATAGTAATGATTATTCATATACTGATCTATATATACTTTTAAATAAAATAGATAAATTTTAATTAAATTTAAGTTAAAACAGAGTTTTATTAAAATGTTTAAACAATTTCGTAAAAATTCAATAAATATATTTATATATTTTGATGAATGCCATTGAGTTTCTTTCATAAAACAAACGATCGTGCTTGCTTAAATATTCTCAGAGTACAAAAACTGCGCATACATAATTTTTTTCATAGAATTTTGAACCCAACTTAAGTCAATAACTCAAGGTTAAAACTCATTAACACATTTACAGAATTAAAACAAAAATTAAATATTCGTATATGTTAAAATATTTATTACATCCATTTCACATACAAGTAAGTACATTTTAGCCGTTTAAAAAATATATATAATCTTTGATATAAAATTAATAATAAATAAAATAAAAATTTAACACAAGTGCTAAACAATAAAGCAATATTAACAATTAAACAGATTTTTTTATTAAATTTTAGAAAAAGAATTTTTATGAGCTATTCCACATTCTACCGATGACGTAGGGAATACCAAATTCGTATGGTGATAAACATTTTGCTAAGCTTAAAATATTTTTATACTTTTTTTCGGTAAGTAGAAAATCTGTATGTAGATTAGGAACTGTGACTTGCAGGAAATCATATACCAATTTGGGGAAAAAACGATGATATTGAATTTTGCACATGAAACTGATAACGTTTTGAAGGCCGGCCGGCCACTACTCTATGTTGTATTACGTTAGAGCACTATGTAACCATGAAATTGTAATCGAAGCGAAAACTATTTTCATTTCAAAGAATTATCAGTCTTTCATTACGTTTAGTTTGTTCGATGGTATATAAACAGCTTTGTTCTATTATGGAAGACATTACTTCATTATTATTAGAAATGTCTATATATGCTTACATACATATATGTTTGTAAAGTTTTAAATAATGTTCTATTGATTGAATTTTATTGTCTTTAATTTTGATTATGTTATATATAAACTAATTTTATAACACATAAGAGTAGTTTTAACTTTATATATAGTATTAACCAAGTCACATTATGAAACCTTTATATTACATTTTTTTATTTACTGAAATTATTTATTTATTCTAATGAAAATTTATTCTCTATTAGAAGTTATAATCTTTAGTTAACATTAAAAAATAATATCGCAAACTATGGCTTCAAAGAGGAGTTACCATATACTTAACTCGAGACATACTTAAAGGAACGGATAGATATTGTTAAGCGTCAATTTTACAATTCAAACTTAAGTGTATTATTTGTGGTGCCAACGTAGCACTCATTATTAAATAATTAAGGGTAAGTAACTTAACTGAAAATTGTAAAACTAACTCTAAGTCTTATGTATATGACTATGATTGAAGTATTTAACTGTAGAACTTTTATATAGACACAATGTTGTTGTTGTTGTTGTATTCCGCTGGGACCTATAAGCATATAATATGAAAGGATATACAAGACGATTACATGGGTAGGGCAATGGTTGGGGGAGAGCGAGAGAGAAGAGAATGTGGGGAAGACGATTTGCTGGGTGGAATGAAATTGAATGTTAAGTTGGATTCAGCCGCAGAAACCTGGCCATATTTGGAACAGGGGATGGGTCCAAATATAGGTACTAACATCTATTATCGTTTATTATATGTTGTTAAATATTTTACAAAAAGCAGTTCACTTAATTATTAACTACTAGTTTAACAAATAAAACCATTATGCAGTATCTCCGCCGTTCTGGTTAGAATCTTAAAGAAACTATAGTAATAATCTATAAGGTCATTTATAGATTATAGATTTATAGAGTATTATTAAAAATGAGCATCAAAGAACGAGTGCTAATATTAAATTTAGTTATTAAACTTGGTAAAAATATAACTTAAACCTTTTAAGAACTAAGCTTATGGTAATGATTGTTAATGGTCTTAGCCGCGTATTAAGAAGTTGTGGACATCACTGTCCCAATATATATATAATGTTATAACATAATTAATTTAAAATTGATATTCCTTATTTGTTGCGAAAAGATTTTTAACAATATAAGCATTTATTCCATATTTTTATACAAAAGAAAATGTTAAGTAATAGGATTATAAAATGATATACCTCAAAATCTTTTAATAATAGACCACATAAAGGTGTTTTAAATAGTGTGTATAGTTGGATTAAAATAACTGTCACTAGAAGTTACGAAAGCTAGTAAGCTTTATGGTAAAATTATTTGAGCATGATAAGATGCATTGTTAGAGAACATAAATGTAAAGAAAGAAAGAAGTATATACAAATCAAATACCTGGTACTAGAAGTAACAAAGTCCCCCAATCCGTTTTTACTCCTAAATAATCCCAACCCCTTGCCCACTACCAATACATATTCCATATCCTAACCCATGTATAGTTTTTTGTGATTTCTTTCATATTATCTGCTTTATAGATAATTGCGAGCTACAATAATAATAGAAGCTATGAAATATGCTTCATTACTGTTCTCTGATATTGTTTATTGAGTAGGTGAAGTATTGAAAAAAAAGGTATTGAAAAAAAGGTGAAGTTTTGCTACACTTAGCTATGCGATCTGGTTAAGTTACTTAGGTTTTAGCAGTGAAATGGTAAACATTCCAGAATATTATTTGGCTTTAAAAAAAAAAACGCTGTGGAGCTACATAACTTTTTGAGACGACCTAGTGTCGATCTCTGGTTCCTAGCAAATAACAGATACTCATCTCAGTCTTTATAGATTTAAGAGTAACATGACTGTAATAATAACTAACTTTTATATTGAATTTATGGTAAACACTATTTAAAAATAATTTATAAATAACTTTATTATATGTTAATTAAATTTAGGTTATGCCGTCGAATCAAAGGATGCACTTAGGCCTATTAGTCCACTGTGTTAACTAATTTATTTGCATATTTCTAACAAATTGGGGACATAATGTATTGCAAAATTCTGTTAAACATATTTTAAATAAATTATTGTCGAACTACATGTTGTAGTTTTGTTCTGGAGACACCTTTTGCACTTTTTTTAGAAATAATTAAATATTCTATTGCAATTATAATAATTACATTTACAACACGATTAAAAAGAAAATTTTAATACCATATATTCAATTTGAAATAACAAAAGCTAAGCACTTAATTAAAATTAACTATTTTTTAATGTAAAATATCTAATAAAAAACTATATATAAAAAATTCCAGTTGCCGTCACTTAAAAAATCGTTCATTGTATAAAGATATTATTGCAAAAACAAAAAATAATTAAATAAAATAAAAACAAAACTTAATATTAATGAATTATTAAAACCTTTGAATTTCCAGAAAGAAACCAGCTCAACAAAATTAACTCATATCAATATGAAATGTAGGTTTCCATAAAAAAAAAAAGTTGGACTTTAAACTTCTATTGATGAGCAAATAACTTCGGTATCACTTCAAGTCCTCAAGTATCTCCAATAGCAACGGTGTGAAGTAAGTTATGATGCAATCAGCGCCAGCACGCCTAAATCCTTTCATTGTTTCCATTAGCACAGACTTAAGTTCGAAAGCACCATTTTGTGCTGCATGGTAAAGCATCGCATATTCACCCGACACCTGATATACAAACAGTGGATAGTGCGGATAAGTGTCTTTTGTTGCTCTCAGTATATCCAAATAAGGCATACCAGGTTTAACCATTAGCATATCAGCACCTTCTTGTACATCACGTTGCACTGCACGCATTGCCAAGCCCTTAGAACCACTCGGCAGCTGATAACAACGCCTATCACCAAAAGCTGGTTTGGACTGCGCTGCATCACGAAATGGACCATAAAAATTTGACGCAAACTTCGCTGCATACGAGAGTAAAGATACACGATTTTCTAAATTTGCAGCAACCAGAGCCTGTTTAATGGCACCAATACGATTGTCCATCATATCAGATGGTGCCACAATTTGTGCACCTACACGTCCATAATTCACAGCCACCTCAGCCAAGCGTGCAATACTCCGTTTGTTATCAATGCCGCCCTCACCAAATATACCGCAATGTCCATCTTTCTTATACGGACACAAACACACATCACAGGCTATAAGCAGATCTGGAAACCATTGACGGAGTTGCGGCACAGCACGCATTACAGGATTTTTTTCTGAATCCGCATGTGTGGCCACATCATCTTTCATACTTGAATCCACAATACCGAATAGTAAAACCGAGCCTAAACCTTTTGCCACTAAAGGTGTAAGGTGTGCACGTAACTTATTCAGACCCATACGCATTATGCCAGGCATGCTGCCCACAGGCTCCACTGCATCATCTTGGTTGATAAGAAATAAAGGATACATAAGATTATGTGGCGTTATTTCACAGCCGCACTCTTGCAGCGACCGCAGCGTTGCATGATGTATACCACTGTGTAGCTTGTTTGCCATGTTTGTTGTTGCTTTTTACTTATGAAAAACTAGTCACGACACTTTCTAATTTGTAGCCTTTTTCTTTTAGGTTTTTTATTGATCAAGTAATGACTTTTTATTTCGCAAGTGCGTACGCAATTACCACAAAAACCAACTGGAATCGACACCACCGTACAAATGCCAAGCATTGTTAAGTAACAACTCCCTTGGAGGCACAATCGAATGAGCAGAAATGCGGGGCACACGAGCTAAAAACAAGCAATATGCACGTAAATAGAGTTGCCAACATTCACTTATTGTATAAAATCATAAATTGTGTTGTAGTCATGACACAAATAGTTAAGACACCTGTTGCAGGTTGCGTATATGAGTTTAATATCACGTATGTGTCACGTACTTATGCAATATTTTTATTGAATATTAATAACTGAACTAATATTAACTAATATTAATAATTGAATATTAATAATAGTAGCATTATTTTAAAAGATATTTTTATAAAGTGGTTTTCCGAACAGTAGTGAATTATAACAACAAAAATACATTTTATATTATTTTAATTAATTTAATTTTTGGCTGACCATACAGCTGTTTCAAGTACTGTCAAATACACATCATCAGGGATCTTGGAAATAATTCTTGTATTTAATTATTCGTAAATAATTTTTTTAAATTGCAAGTACCAGGAATCGAACTGGTGTTCTGCCAAATTTGAAGCTCAGAGTCAGCGTACCTTAAACAATTGACCCAAAGCCATACTTAACTTTTTATGTTCGCACATTTTTCTGGAGTTCTGTTTCTTTGCTGTGAAAGTTTTATTAACAAATTCACTTGTTATGTTTATATTAGAACGAAATCATAAACCAGCTGTAGAATAATTGAATTAATTAATAATATTTTTACTTTTAATTGTTAAATTTTAATTTCAATATTTTTAAATTTATAAACATAAAATTGAATTCAAGAAATTCAAAGTCACAGAAAGATATATACATTAATTGTTTACAGTAATTGTTTACAGTTAATTAACTTATTGACTTATTTACCTTAAACTTATAATCATGAAATTGAAATCAAAAAAATAGAAAATCGGGTAAGGATAAATATATTAATTGTATTTCTCAGTTAAAAAAATGTAAGCAATTAATTAACTAGCAATTAATTGCTAGCAATTAATGTTAACAATTAACGTAATCGTGCAAGTTTAAACATGTTAATTGTATTGTTTACAATTAATACATTGTAATAGTTTTATTAATTAATATATAATATAATTTACACTGTTGTATTGTTAACATATTAAAAATTATTAACAATTAATTAACTTATATTGGTAACATTTTTGACAATCATTATTATATTTATTTATAAAAATTTTAAAAATTGTTCACAATTCATTAACTTATTAATTTGAAACTTATGATATCACATGAAATTGAAATAAAAAATACTAAATCAGGCAAAATTTAGTATTATGATTAGTTCAATATTAATTGAAAATTATTGTTAACAATTAATTCTCGACAATTATCATTAAAAACATAATATGTATGTTAATCAAATTGTAATTTCATAAATTTTTGGTCCGTAAAACTCACTAAACGAAATCATATATAAACCTGATCAATCAACTCTTAGCTATATCAGTTTAAAATCTTTGAAGGCACTTAATGACAGTACATATTGCTCTTAATGTTTGTGTCTTTCGAATTTGAAGTGTTAACTCATTTTAATATAAAAAAGTTAAGTCATTCAAACTGTGAACTCCAAAGAATTTTAACTGAGTTTTTAAAAAAACCAGAAACAAACAATAGAAGTGCTTCAAAGTTCCCTTAATGCCTGCTGTTTTGTATGTGAGGAATGCAAATAATTCTTCACTGTAGATTATAACAAAAAAATTAATTATGTTATAATCATTGGATTGATAAAAATCATGCTTCTGTTAGAGTTGTTAGCTATAGAGTAGAGTAAAGTGCGTAAGCGCGGAGGCTTCTTAATTTGAAAGACTTTTATATCAATTGACTACATAAGCTTTTGAAAGTGTTTTCCTTACAGCTTAGAATCTAAAAAGTTCATATTTGAAGACAGCTTCATATTCAAATAAAACAATTTAAAATTTTTAAGTATTTAATACATAAAGTAAGAGCTACATTTAGCTTTACAAACTACGAAGTGAATTTACAATTCTATTATTATTTTTGAAATTCTAAATAATAAAAATTATTTTTATTTTTATATGTTAATTTTTTGATAAATTTCTAAAACCACTAAATATATAAATTTTAAATAAAAATCGACTAGTGGCAAATAGTTTTCAGAAATTTAAAGTATTATGTGTCTTATATGTCTTATGTTGGCAACTCTAAACACTCTCTTTGCAATTGTTTAAATTTGCAAATATAAGAGGAAATATTTGATTATATGTGCAGATAATAACTGATAAGGCTCCTAATATAAATAAATGATAATCAAAGTGCAATTCAGATTATTTCAGCAATTATAAAATTTTATACAGCGTTTGAATTGCATTGCTTGCATAACGCATTGCATAAGAAAATGTAAAAAGAATATGCTTTGGCAACAACAAAAAAACGCAAACTGGTTTCATTTTGATTGCTTGCTAATAGTCGATTTTACATTTTTGACTATTAAGCGTTTGGAATATATGCAACGTTCTCGCTTATGCAACTAACGCTTCTGTTTTGCTATAAGCGAATAGCGTATTCTTTTTACATTTTCTTATGCAATGCATTAGCAATTAGTCGTTTGACAAAAATTGATTGGTCAATATTTATGCATTAGTCAAATTTGGTTGCTTTTGCTAATTCTCAGCAAGCAATTCAAACCCTAATTTTATAGTCATTCTATGATGTAATTACCGGCTTTCACTTCAACAATTTAGCTGCAGTCTTTTACTCTATTGTGAATGAAATGCGTTTAAAACAGTGGTGGCGAATATAATGAATTAATTCATGTTTATAATTTAAACTGGTTGTTCCGCTAATTTAAGCTTCTAATACGGCGTTTAGAAGCTTAAAGCAAAAATCGAGATTAAAATACTAACTTCGTTGTTAATCTCAGATTTTCCATACAAAAATTAAACTCCTTTTCGTCGAGATTAGTTTTAAATCTCCTACAAAATAATGATTTTTTCTCAATGCAACACTGCAATGTTGTAGATTTTTTTACGATCTTAGAAGAAATGTCTTATTGTCGTAGAGTTTTTACGATCTTAAAGTGATATGACAAAATCTATTCAAAACAAACATTGAAAATTTCGGAGTGAAATTTCTATTAAATTTGTTTAATCATAGTTTTATACTTAATTATAACTAAAATTTGTTAAATTATTGTTATAAAACCATTTATTTTTTATACAAAATTTTAATTAAATGCTTTATTTACAGAAATTTATTAAACGCACGAACCAAAACACAATAAGAAGAACGTCAAAATTAATCTCCAATATTTAATGTAAACGGTGAAGATTAAAAATGCAGTTTAACTTAATCTCGTTCTCTTAATCTCACAATGTAAACGTAGTATTAGTCTATGTATTTAGAGTCATTGAATTAAAACAAATAATTATTTAATATATGCGTACGACTATGTTTATTAATTTTATTTTGAAACTAAACTAATAGTTTTAAAAACTTTAAGTACAATTTTTTTGTTCCACAAACGCAATTACATTCCTCTTCTATACTAGTTCTATAATAAAATTTATTCTTAACTATTATCGCTTTTTTCGACGTAAATGCTAATTGCATTGAAATAAATAAAGAAAACATTATTTAATAATAACTACAAATAAACATAATTACAGTAAAAATATTAAATAATTAAACTAATTACGTTTACGCTTCTGATTTTATAAAATATGGCTTCGTAAATTCTTGTACAATTTGTGTGTTTTCGTTCCTTGTAGTGTGTAATATTTTAACTTAAATAATTTATGTCTTAGTATTTATTTAACCAAATATTATATAAAAACAATTTAGATATATAAACTTTTTTTTAAACTAAAAGGCTCTTAAAATGTATTTTCCATGCGGTCAATCTTAAATTATAAAAAGTTTCTGGGTAGTCGTTTACCGCTAACTTAAAGTAATAATAACATTGGTTCTAAATATTTGGTTTGGATTTGGTCTAACAGCCGTTCGTGTATGTGGAAAAATATATAGTGGATTAGAAGACAAAGACGTTAGTGCGGAGTGCGATGAAAGAAATTTCCACTAAGACACCATAGCATGGTAGAGGAAGCGACTATGTGTGGGTAGGGGACTTCCAACATTTGTTGTCAATCCACAACTACTGTTTGCATTGCACTGTGTAGCGGAAGAAATAAATTTACTGTTCGCATCCGACAATTGAAAACATGTGCCAATTGTATTAATTTCATGTTTAGTCAATTGCAGGGAATCGCTTTTGATAGTGTAAATTAGTCGTCGCTGCTTAAGAGAGTCTACATTTATTTGACAAACTTTAGTTGGTCAAGCCAAAGAGACCTGATAGAAGAGCCATTCTTCCATAAATGATGGCACGAAAGCCTTTGAAGTTGTGAATTTTACTTTCGGCTTAAGCAAACGTAATTGATCTTCGAACAACTCTAAAGATTCCATGCAACTGGTGCCATTGCCATGCGTCAGATATTTACCATCTGGTTTTAGGATTTTGAATGAATGCTCCAAGATGGTGCGTATGAAATCCCAGCACTCACCAATTGGTGCTCCGGATATTGGTATGTCAGTTAGATCACCAAAAACATAATCAAATTTGCGTCCTTCCGCAATAAATTTCTTCATATATTCCACGCAATCACCCACAACTATTTCATAAGCATCGCTTTTACGTTTCTCCAGCACATCCCCACAAATGCTATTCAGGTATTTGTTACATGCTTGCATGACGAGTTCATCAATTTCTAGCATAACCACGAATTTCGGTTTCTCCTTCAACAGTTCATAGAGAAGAGCACCGTCACCGCCTCCCAAAATACAAATTTCTTTGTCTTTGTAGTCTTCAATACCGCGTCCCATTAGAGTTTCCGTGTAAATGAGATCAGATTCTGCAATATCTGCAATTAAAAAAACTTGTCAGTTATAGTTACTACAAAGTCTTATTATTATAAAATTATTTCAATGTCTTTTCAAAAATATCAATTAAGAAATGTGAAAATGTAATACTGATTGGATAAGTTTAATCAAAGTTTCAGGGCTTCAAAATATTATTGTTAGAGGCTTGTATAAACGCCGAAGCTTACAG